TTTAATAAAATTTGAGTTACGATAAATACGAATCCAATGCGAATTTTTTTATTACCAAATGGTTTTATATATTCGTTAAAGCAAATGTTGTACCATTCGATAAAAACTTTAATGCTTAAAAACCGGGTAGACAACAATGCAATGTTCAGTTTCTTTTTACCGAGGTATAGTTTTGATTTGGTAAACCATTCAGTAAAATTTAAAATTCGTTTCTTGACTCATGGTATGGTATTTAAAAACCTAACGTTTTACCGAATGGCCAATTTTATTAGAAGGATGTTACACACAACCCTACCGAAACGCCATTGGGTATATGTAAAGATGTTTGATTCTCGTACATTTCAATTAAAACCTTACGAAGCAAATGCGTCACAGACTAGAACGGTGATACTGATTTAACACTTGTTAGCTTTGAAAGTTCAAAGGCCGCTTGTGTATATACATAAACGCACGTTAGGATAAAATGTTTTATCTGTCATCTAAAACGTTACTGCATGCCTCACTCAAAAGGAGAAGCAGCAATGAGTTACTCGTTTTGGCATAATCATGTTAAAAGAGTCAAGGTCGAAGCGTGCTGTTACATAGAAACACAAACGTCACGTGCACAAGCCCCGTGTTATTTCTTTCATTGTTCTGGAGCTACGATGAGATCTTCTGCTTCTCGCCAACATGCGTTACACTGCTTGAAGGTCCTGGCGTCCTCATTTTGTTTCACAGCTACACATCTCTCCTTATCTTAACACTCACCCCCCCTAATAACACTCTATACATGAGATAACATGATTATTAATTAATAGGAACTGATAAAAGAGTATTAGCCATTGTGTGGACTAAATTATTTAGTCAGAAATTTAATTCATAATTCATCGTAGTGTATAGCAGATGCTTGGATTCTGGCTTACCCAAAATGATTTTTTTGTAATGATGCTGCATCATTTTTCTTTATATATATAGTTGAGTTGTAAAAAGGTTTGTTTTCTAAGTTTATACAGCCGCGGATCTCTGAGAGAATACTGTAAGTGATATCTAAAGTTACCTATGACGTCGAGACAGACAGACAGAAATCAGGCTAAATTATTTACTCGATAAAAGTGCATCCATGAAAATCTGGCGCGTACTGCATTGTCAAAGTAAACGCGGCATTCGTTTCTGTGTCAAGTAAAACATAATAGTGACCGAAACAATTGTAATCGTATGTATTTGGGTTACATTCAGTGTGGTCCAAAAGGTTAGAAAATTCATTTTATAAAAGTGAAAACTTTATATGTCCGTTCCCTATTCTCCTGGGTATATTCACGGCCGATAATCCAATAAAATAGTTCATTCTGGTTGTTAATAGTCGGTCACTGGGTTACCAGAGGAGGAACAATGTCAAAACACAGCATGACGGTTACAGAACAGTCCGAATACGGATCAGTGGAACATAAACCAGTAAAACTAAGGCTAAAACTCAATAACTAAGAATTAATTGTCCATTTTTATTTACTTAACACCCTTTTTAACTAGGTTAAGGTTTTGCTCTGTTGAATATCCTCTCATCGACCTTGACTAACGTATATATCGTGCTTACAGTATGTAAGGTTTCCATTCACGTGTTGCTTGTACAATAAATAAATAATTAAAATAAAAGAGAGCGTCCTGTCGATCTATTTCTAAACATTAAGGTACACTTCACGACTGTTTGCTGTTAAGCGCAAAGCTACATAATAGGCTCTGTCTGTACTGTGTCCCACACGGGTATCGTAACTCGGTTTTTCGCGTTATAAGCCTTCAAGACTTATTACTGAGCCATTGGGAGGCTTACTTCATGAATGATCATTATTAATTTTCTTTATTACGCTTACTAGTTCATATATTACTATTTTTTCTTCAACTTATCTATGTATATAATAGCTAAATGTCTGTCATACTCTTATCTCCTGAGTGGTTAATAACAGAAATATATTAGGTCGTCAAGCAATTAATGTCGCTTTTTTTTTAGATGAAAAAACCCGAACAACTTATATATCAAAACAAAACATTTATTAAATGATATGGTCTACATTCTTATCGATGATGCTTTTCCATCTTACAATTAGGTTATTAACGCCCTGATTAAAGAAATCACCTGGCTTTGATGCAAAGAACATGTCGATGTCCTATTTTACACCTTCCACATTTGCATACGTTTTCCAATTAACATGGTGTTGCAGCGAACAAAAAAGATGGTAATATGATGGTGCCATTTCTGGAGAATATGGAGGGTGGAGGAGAACTTCCCAACCCAACTCCATAATTGTATGTTGCATCAAACGTGCCACATGTGGACGTGCATTGTTGTGGAGAAAAACACCTTTCTGAAGGGTGTTTCTGACGATGGGCTTGATTTAAACGTTCCAGTTGCTGACTGTAGATCTCTGCATTGACAGTTCGCTGTGGATTGAGGAGCGAAATGAATTACTCCTTTGATGTCCTACCAAATGTAAAGCATCACTTTCTACGGATGGAGTACAGGTTTTGGGGTCGGAAGTGGTTTTTGTCTAGGATTGAGCCATTGTTTTTGGCGATTAATGTTCGCATAGAGAATCCATTTTTCATCACCGGTGACAATTCTGTCCAAAAATGGTTGACGCGCATTACGCGCAAGAAGAGACGAAGCAACGCTCACACATTGGAAACAATGATCATCGGAGAGATACCCAAACATCTTCTTTATGGAATTTTCTCATATTCCTTAAATGTTTACA